GTTTCTGTGAAATAAATTATGCTTGTCTTGTTTAGATTTTGTTTGGTTCACAGAACAGCTCCCTGTTATAAAACTACCACCCCCTCTCCCCCGCCCCCACCGGTCCACCTCAGCTGTTTATCTCCTGAAGAGAAATATTAAAAAAGAATAATACAAGTCCAAATGTTAAACTTTCCTGGGAAAAATATGACACTTGCTAAATCTTTATGTTTGTTTTTTAATCTAAGGCTAAAAGCTCAGTGCTTACCTTGTCAAGCCAAGGTTTTTTTTTCTTTTGCCTTAAAGGAGTAGGTCACTCCAAAAAGCTTACTTTTTTTGTCTTCGCTGATAGCAAGTAAACATTCACCTTTTCCACTCACCGAAGTTTCAGCCTCTGAAGTGCCTGCTATCGTGAAGAAATTTGTCTCGAAAGAAGCAACTTTGGAAGTGGCCATTTTTGAATTGTCTTGGTAGCCAGGCCGTGTTTATGTGACCCCATTCCATAAGACTTGAAATTGGTGAGAAGGAGAAAAACCTTCAACTGACATAGCATCCTTCACAAGGTCAGCAAAATCTATTTTTTTGAGTGATCATCCATGTCACTATCTTCAATGCTTTCGTTTCAGAGTTTTGGAGCATGTTTGGCTCAAAATAATATGGATCAAGAGCAGCCATAACCCAGAGTGGTAGTTAAAAGGCTTGTCGGAAGTCATTTGGATAAAATCTCTCGGACGGAATGATGTCACAAAAACACAGTCTGGCTGCTAAATACTGTTCAAAATTACAACGATGATGTTCGAATTTTAGGCTTATTTGGAGACAAATTTTATAAGGAAAAACTGCACTTTAGAGGCTGAAAATTCAGTGAGTGGCTAAACTTAGTGCAAGGTTTTTATTAGCATTGACAAAAAATAAATGTTTTTTTGGAGTGACCTCCTTTAAGAATTGCTCATTGATGAAGATAGGAAAATGAGCCTCTGTCATCAGTTAACATGTAGCAGGGATAGTAAAAAATCTTAAACATCAACAGCAACTGAACTGAGAGAACATACATTAGAAACTCAGGGTCAGAAATTAACTTTTTTCGGCAGGCGCCAACTGGCAACTGAAATTTTTTTCGCAGTCGCCATATGGAAAAATGTGGTTGCCAAAAAGTGTCAATAAATTTTTTCCTTCGCAACGAAAAACAAACCAAAATTTTTGGTCGCCATGGGCTTGCTGGCAAAATGTTTGCATTCGATGTAATCAGGAATCAAACCATTGCTGAAATCATCTTTTGACCACTTTGACAGATCTATATTTCCACCGTTTGACGCCCACAGAATATCTAAATCTTCATCTAATTTCTTCGTGGATGTTCCGTCTCCACTTTGTAATAAATTACGGAAAGATTTCAG